AAATGTCAACTCTTTTAAGAGTCATTTCCCACAGTCTTGAAGGCTGCCTATCTGACTGCCAGCTCTGTTCTAGAACATTCTAAAATGTATGTATGCGTTTCATCTATTAAAAATGACTCCATTGTCCCTCTACGAGGGAATGGATAAACAGGCTGTTATGTGTCCAGACAATGGAATAGTTCTCAACAATAGAAAGGAAAGATCCCTTGATACATACAACAGCGAGGACAAATCTCACATGCATTGCGCTGAGTGAAATAAGCCAAACTCAAAAGGCTGTACAGAAAAAAAAAAAAAAAAAGGAAAAGGGGATGGAAAGGTTGAAAATAATTGCCAAGATTGCTACTGTTACATTTAGGAGGGTCTGTTTTCTTCTTGTATAAGACAAGTTTGTCTTAGAAACATTTTAAATAGAAAATCAGTAATTCCCTGTTTGGCATTCAAAGCGCAGTTTCTTTTCACGTAAGAACGCCCTTTGACTTTATACAGTAAGTTCTCTTCAGGATTCCTGTAAGACTCTGTTTATGGGACATACTGGATGAGGCAGAGCTGTAGGGACAGAGAGCAGAGCAGCGGTTCCTGGGCTGGGGAGAGGGATGGGGTACCCAGGGGCATGAGGGCGTCTTGGGGGGATGATGGATCTGTCATTTATCTTGATTGTGGTGATGCTTACACGACTCTCTTCATTTGCCAAAATCATAAAACTGTGTAGCAAAAAAGGAAATTTTACTGTATGTAAGTTAAAAGGTAACAGAAAACATAAATGAAACAATTAATTCATTGTCCTCTTAAAATGCCTGCCTGGAGGTTTATGAAGAAAGGAATGAGGCCCCAAGGAGTTAAAGAAAAAGGTCTCGGTTCTGGAGGGTTGTGGGAACTCTCTTTTTTGGTCAGGCGTCTGGCCCTGGCCCCAGCCCGTCTCCTGGCCTCTCTTTCTCTCTGCCTGCCTTTCTCCCTCTGGCAGTCAATGGCTGAGCTCGGGTGGGAGACAAGGAAAGTTTTGTGGGACTCAGAAATAAATGAATAACTGCCTGGCCTGGGTCACCATAGCAACTGTGACGTCACCCTCAAACCCGGGGGGCTGGCACCATGGGTGGCTTGTGGGAGTTTGTTAAAGGAGCAGAGGGAGCGAGGGCAGCCAGGCCATGCCTGGTGACAGGTGGAGGAGAGCTCCCTCGGTCGGTGACTTGGTTTCCCACCTTGGAGAAAGGCGTGAGCCGCGTGCCCAGCCCAGTTGGAGGGAGTATAAATTGGCACAGCCTTCCTGAGGGCTTTTGGGCAGAATCTATCAAAAGGAACGCGGTGTGCACCTGTGTTCTTGCCTCTAGGGCTGCAGGAACAAGTGACTGCACAGTGGGTGGCTGAGAACAACAGAAATATCTAAGATCAAGGTGTCAGCATGGGTGGTTCCTTCTGGAAGCTCTGAGGGAGAGTCTGCCCCGGGCCTCTCTCCCAGCTTCTGGTGATTTCCGGGAGCCTCGGTGTTCCTTGGCTTGTGGGTACATCACTCCAGTCTCTGCCTCCGTCTCCACATAGCCTGCTACGCTCTCGTGTCTTGCCTTTTCTAAGGACACCAGTCATGTCAGATTAGGGGCTCACCCCGCTCCAGTAGGACCTCATCTTGACTAATTGCATCTGCAATAACTCTGTTTCCATATAAGGTCACATTCGGAAGTACTAGGGATTAAGAGTTCAACATAGGCATTTTGGGGGGACACAATTCCACTCATAACACTATTTTTGTTGTTATTACATATAACTTAGTAAGCTGGTCTCAGCCGCTGACAACTTCCTCTGGGGCCACCCATGAAAGTGGGCTGATGGCCTGGTTGTTTTGGGCTCCTGGAGAGGCTGTGCTTCCGTGGGGTCTCCACCTCCAGAGGCAGGTCCTCCATTTTCTCTGAGACTCTAAGCCCAGTGTTTAATCTGCCCCTGTGTGGGTGCTCAGACCCTGTGGGAGATGGAGCGCTGATGTCTCAACTCAGAAGCCCGGCTCTGGGACTTGCTGATGGGGGGTCTTAGTTTTCTCATCTGTCTAATGGGCTCAGCATGACCCTGGCCCTGTCACTGGTGGAGTGACTGCTGGATGCAGGCAGAGAGCAGCTGTCAGAGCAGGTGAGGGGGAGCAGACTTGGACCCCCAGACTCTCCAGGTGGCGAGGGGCCAGTGTAGGAAAATCAGACCCCAGGAGTCCCAGGGGAGTGGCAGTGTCACCTGGCAGACGTCCCCACTCTCAGCCTTCACTCCTTCCTGCCCTGACACACCAGGCTGCTTGCAGAGTGCCCTGTGCCCTCCTGTCTGTTCGTGCCGATCTCTGTGCCACGAGCACCCTCTCCTCTCCTGCCTTTCTTTCACCTGGTGAACTCCTCATTTATTCCTTCAACATCTGTTTGCCGGGTGCCTGCTATGGTGCCAGGTGCTACGCCGGGCCCCCAGGCATCGTGGTCAGCTTGCGCCCTGGGAGCCTACAGACTCAGCACGGACCTCACCCCTCTCAGAAGCCTTCCCTCTGACCTTTGTCGTTCCTCTGAACTCCGAGAGTACCCACCACCCCCCAGCGCATGGCAGGTGCTCAGCAAATGTTCCCTGAAAGGATGAGAGCGCTCACCACACCGTCTTGGAATTTCTGCTCGGATCCGATGCCTTCTGGACTGTGAGCTCCTTGAGGGCAAGGCTGGGTCATCCCATCCCTCTGTCCCCAGTGCTGAGTGTTGAGCCAGTATACACAAGGTGTTTAACAAATGCTCTATGAACTGTACTGGGATGGATCCAGCATATAGAAGGTGCTCAATAAATGTTCTGTGAAGTTTACTAGCATGGATTCAACACACAGAAAGTACTCAATAAATGCTCTGTGATCTGTACTGGCGTGGTGCAAGCATACAGAAAACGCTCAATAAATTCTTGGTAAACTGTACTAGCATGACACGAGCATACAGAAGGTGCTCAGTGGATGCTCAATGAACTGCACCTAGCATGAACCCAGCACACAGAAGGTGCTTAATAAATGCTCTGTGAACTGTACTCCATCGAGCCCTTTGTTTTGAACCATACACTCATTTCTCAATTTTGTGGGTCTTCATAGTAGTAATTGGGATCTCGGGGTGGGGGGGGAGTCTTTGGTGTTTCAGTGGAGTTTAACCCCCCCTGGTGGATGAAGCTTGGCAAAGTCCGAGGTGAACTGTCCACTTGCCTGATGCCGAGCCTGTGTGGGCCGAGGAGGTGGCCCCTGCTGAGCTGGTCCCACTTGCAGCTGTCGGGGGAAGAAGGAGAATCTCTCTCTGCCCTTTTCCTTAAGGTTCTTATGGCTGGCCAAATAATTAACAAGACAGGTTAGCAGGAGAAAATAATACCAAGTTTAATAACATGTATACATGGGAGAAACTCAGAAATGAGCAACTCGCCCCTCTGTCTAAGCTGCTTGCTTAAGTATTGCAGCTAAAGGCGAGGAACGTGTTGGGGGTGGGTAATGGCCTGGGACTTCAGAGGGCAGGAGGACAATTCTTTTCAGGGTCATCTATAGATAATGTGGTCAGGGAGAGACAGAGTTTTTGATAAAAGAGGCTTGGTGCCTTTCCCATTGTAACCTCTATCCTACATTATCTTTACAGCCATCATGATAACAACTCTTTCTTGAAACAGATCTTTTGTTTTAAATTCTTTAGGCAGTTTGGGAGGGGAAACTCAAATATTCTTCCTGAGTTCTCTGAGTCCTTATTGTCTTCAGCTCGAAATAATCCACATACCAGAGTGGTGCTTCCTGGGGCAGCTTGCCCTGAGCACCATCACAGCCCCAAGAGCCAGGTGCATGCAGATCTCGCCTGAAGCTCTTGGACGCCGCCTTCCCAGCCCCACCAGGCTTACCTTCCCAGACTGACCTCAATACACCTGCATGGTCATGCCAGCCAGGCCTGGCCGAGTCCCGGACCACCCGGGGGATGTGGCTTCCCAACCTCTGTGCCGTAGCTTCCCCTCCGTAAAACGGGCGTGGTGAGAGCTCCATGTGCTTGTGGATCTCCAGTTTGGATCAAAGGAGAGACAGGAGGGGCTGAGGCTTGGAAGATTCCCAAAAGACACCAGAACATCAGGAACGTTTATTGTTAAGATAAAATCACCTGGCAATTCCGTGTGTGAATCTGCGCCCAGCAGAAATGAGTGCAGATGTTCACCAAAGATGTGCACTCGAATTCTCATAAACAGAGTTCCCCATAATAGCCCCGAACTGGAAGGTCCACCTGCAGTAGGTTGGATACATAAGTGGTGGTACATTCACCCAGGGGAGTACTATACCGCCATAAAGACTACCAATCGCTGCCTCCAACAACATGGATGGATCTCAGCAAAGTCACATTGAGCCAAAGAAGCCAGACCCAGAGTGTTTGTGCGGTGTGACCTCGCTGTCAGGAAGTTCAAGAGCAGGCCAAACCAGTGTACAAGGAGTGTCAGAGGGTGGTGTCTTTGGGGAAGACACCCCCGGGAGGAGGCGTAAGGGCACTTTCTGGGGGCGGGAAATGAGCTGCGGCTCCTCCTGGGTGGTGGTGATGTGGGCGTGTGCGCATGTAAGAATTCATGAAGCTGTGCCCTCGGGGAGCTGTACTGTATGTATGTTATTTGTAAAGAAAAAACAGGAACTGAAGAGAAAGCTGCAGCCCAGTATTTAGCAAAGTTTTGTAACAAACACCACATTGGGGATTAGACACAAAATATTGGATAGTCCAAAAAAAATGTAATAGAAAGAGAGAGAGAGGGAGGGAGAGGGAAGGAGGGATGGCAGAGAGAGAGGAGAGGGAGGGGAGGAGGGAAGAGGGAGGGGGAGGAGGAGACAGAGAGGGGAGGAGGGGAAGAAGGGGAGGGCGAGGAGGGGAGAGGAAGGTAAGGATTGGGGGGACCCTCTCTTTCCACCAGTAGGGGCCGAGGTCTTCAGGCCTCCTGGGAATTCTGTGACCACAGCTGCTCCCAGCTTCCCAGCTGAGCTTCTGGAATTGTGCCTCTCCTTCCAGGTTCATGAACCACCGAGTCCCCGCCCACAAGAGGTACCAGCCCACGGAGTACGAACATGCCGCCAACTGTGCCACCCATGCTGTGAGTCGGCTTGTGGGGGGCTGAGAGCTGAGAGGGGGACACTTCCAGATACTGGGGGGAGGCAGCCTCTCCACCCTTGGAGAGATTTGACATCTCCATTCTGCGGGTCTCCATCCCATGGCTATGTCTCAGGTGGGCTGTCCTCAAGTCTTCCGCGGCCCTTGGAAGAGTGAGTGGGATCTCGAGGGAAGGCCGTTTGGGTAAATTGGATTGTGGTCCTGAGCCTGCCTCTCTTTTCCTCTAAGAACCTTCCTAGTCCTTGGTATAGCATCCAGACTCGGTAGCAAGCTCCCAGCCAGGTCTCGATTCATATATCAGCCCACTTCCAGTGCCACAGTCTTCCCCCAGGCTCCAGCACCTGAACACGCTGTTCCGTAAATAGAAGGCATACCTCCATGCCTTTGTACATGCTGTTCCCTCTGCCTGGACTACTTGCCCTCTCCACCCCAGCCTTGCCTAATAAATCCTTCACTGGGCAGTGGTCCTTGAACCTTTGGTGCCTGGACCCCCTTGAGGATCTAATGAAAGGTCTAGACCTACGGTGTTCAGTTCAGTAGCCACTGGCCCCATGTAGCTCGTCTGAACTGAGATGTGCTCTGAGTGTAAAATACACACCAGCTTTGAAGACTTAGCATGAAAAGGGAATGTAAAATGTCTCCTTAATACTTTTTAAATATTAGTTACATGTTGAAATCATAATGTTTTGGATATATTGGGCGAAACAAAATATATTATTAAAATTAACTTCACCTATATATTCTTCTTTTTCCACATGTGGCTACTAGAAAATCTAAAATTACCTGTGTGACTCAAGTTATAGTTCTTTGGGCTGGTGCTGTGTAGACCCTCTCTCCAGAAAAAGTGCTCCCCACACACAGAATTGGGCAGATATTTTCAGGGACCCCCTGCCTGCAGTGCTTTGGAGAGTTCTGAGACCTCTCACAGGAAATGATGGATAAACCATGATTGAAGAGTGAGGGGTTTTCAAGTAGACATGGTGGGGAGGGACGTTTTCTTCAGAGGGACCCACGTGTGCGACAACGCAGAGACGTGAAGCAGCATGGCATGCTTGGGGGACCCCAAGACTGGGGTATCAATGGCCTCAGAGTAACCAGTGATGCTCCTCGAAGTCGGGGGGTGTTGACTTCCTGTTTTACCACTACACTCTCTAGTGCTGTGCTTTTCAATATGGTAGCCACTGGCTTCCTGTGACTGTTGATATTGAAATTGAAATCAATTAAAATGAAATAACATTTAAAATTCAGTGGCACAAGTCACGTTTCAAGTGTGGAGTAGCCACTCAAGTGCTCATGTGCCTAGTGGCTCCCGTATTTGACAGTGCAGGTCTAGAACATTTCCACCATGTCGGGAAGTTCTGTTGGACAGTGTAGGTCTAGAATGTTTTCATCATCAGGGAAAGTTCTGTTGGACAGCTCAGGTCTATACCATTTCCACCATCACAGGAAGTTCTGTTGGATGGTGCAGGTGTCAAACATTTCCACCGTTAAAGGAAGTTCTGCTGGACAACGTGGGTCTAGAACATTTCCACCACTGAGGGAAGTTCTGTCAGACAGTGCAGATCTAGAATATTTCCACCATCGTGGGAAGTTCTGTTGGACAGTGCAGGTCTAGAATATTTCCACCATCGTGGGAAGTTCTGTTGGACAGTGCAGGTCTAGAAAATTTCCACCATCGTGGGAAGTTCTGTTGGACAGTGAAGGTCTAGAACATTTCCGCCATTGAGGGAAGTTCTGTTGGATAGTGCAGATCTAGAACATTTCCACCATTGTGGGAAGTTCTGTTGGATAGTGCAGATCTAGAACATTTCCACCATTGTG